TAGTGAGTATTGTGAGGATTTCGTGGGGGTATAGTGAGTATTGTGAGGATTTCGTGGGGGTATAGTGAGTATTGTGAGGATTTCGTGAGGGTATAGTGAGTATTGTGAGGATTTCGTGGAGGTATAGTGAGTATTGTGAGGATTTCGTGGAGGTATAGTCAGTATTGTGAGGATTTCGTGAGGGTATAGTGAGTATTGTAAGGATTTCGTGAGGGTATAGTGAGTATTGTAAGGATTTCGTGAGGGTATAGTGAGTATTGTGAGGATTTCGTGGAGGTATAGTGAGTATTGTGAGGATTTCGTGAGGTATAGTGAGTATTGTGAGGATTTCGTGAGGGTATAGTGAGTATTGTGAGGATTTCGTGAGGGTATAGTGAGTATTGTGAGGATTTCGTGAGGGTATAGTGAGTATTGTGAGGATTTCGTGAGGGTATAGTGAGTATTGTGAGGATTTCGTGGAGGTATAGTGAGTATTGTGAGGATTTCGTGAGGGTATAGTGAGTATTGTGAGGATTTCGTGAGGGTATAGTGAGTATTGTGATGATTTCGTGAGGGTATAGTGAGTATTGTGATGATTTCGTGGAGGTATAGTAAGCATTGTGAGGATTTCGTGAGGGTATAGTGAGTGTTTTTTTACGGGGTATAGGGAGTACTGTGTTTTTATGGTGTATAGTAAGTATTGTGAGTTTCTAATGGGGGTATAGTGAGTATTGTGATTTTCCAATGAGGATATAGTGAATATAGTGATTTTCTAATGGTGGTATAGTGAGTATTGTGAGTTTCTAATGGTGGTATAGCGAATGTAATGATTTTCTAATAGGGGTATAGTGAATATAGTGATTTTCTAATGGGGTATAGTGAGTATTGTTTCTAAAGGGGTATTATGAGGTGAGGGTTGTATATTAAGGATTGCGGGTGGTATGTTTTTATGATGTATATTATGGGGGGGGGGAGGGTTATGCAGTGAATATTGTGCGATTAATAAGGATTGTATAGTGAGTATTGTGAGTATTGTACGATGGTACCTTGTGAATATTGTTGTATAATGAGTATTGTGAGTGTAATAAGGATTGTATAGTGAGTATTTACAGTGAGTATTGTGCGTTCAATAAGGATTACATAGTGAGTTATGTGTGTTGTAGGGGATTATATAGGGTATATTGTGAATGCTGGGAGGGTAACCGTTGTATAGTGAGTATTGTGCGTGGTGTAGGAATAATTTTTGAGATAGTGTGCGTGGTGTGTGTAGGGAATATTGTGTGTGCAGTATAGTGAGTGTTGGGATTGTATGGGATATAGTGTCGGTGGTGGAGGTTGTGTAGTGAGTATTGTGTGTATTGTGAAGGCTTTATTGTGAATATAGTGGCTAATGAAGGTTGTGTGTATAGTGTGTATTGTATAGTGAGGAATAGTGAGGGTTATATTTTTAAATAACGAAGTGAATATGGTGTGGTTAGGGTTGTATAGTGAGTATTGTGACTGGTGAGGATGGGATGGTGACTATAATGAAGAATGTTTAATCAGTAAAGCATATTGTGAATATAATATGATAGTGAGGACCGTATAGTGAGTATTAAGTGCACTAAGGATTGTTTATGGAAAGAATAAACAATAAGAAAAAAATTAAGATTTAGCAAAATATTCCATCATATTTAATAACATCTCTCTTTCTCCCTTTTTCCTTCCTCTCTCTCTCCCTCGCTTTCTCCTCCTAAATTTCCTTCCTTTTTTCTCCTACAATTTCTCTCTCCTCCTCCCTTTTCCTTCCTCTCTCTCTCTCCCTCCCTTTCTCCTCCTAAATTTCCTTCCTTTTCCTCCAACACCTCTCTCTTCCTCCCTTTTCCTTCCTCTCTCTATCCCTCCCTTTCCTTCCCTTTTCCTTCCTCTCTCTCTCCTCCTCCCCTTTCCTTCCTCTCTCTCTCCTCCTCCCCTTTCCTTCCTCTCTCTCTCCTCCTCCCTTTTCCTTCCTCTCTCTCTCCTCCTCCCTTTTCCTTCCTCTCTCTCTCTCTTCCTCCCTTTCCCTTCCTCTCTCTCTCTCCTCCTCCCTTTTCCTTCCTCTCTCTCTCTCTCCCTCCCTTTCCCCCTTCCCTCCCTTCCCCCCCTTTCCTCCCTTCCCTCCTGCAGGCAATCCCGGCGACGACTTTTACTGGGTCGACGACACGACTATGAAATCCAAGAACTTCACTTTTGTTTCGGATGAAAACATTGATGATGCCATTAACAGCGATGTGAAAAAATGTACTTTCTTCCAGATCAGAGGTGAGGGCGGGGGTGTAGGGTGGGTGTGGGGTGTGGGGGTGGGGAAGGGGTGTGGGGGTGGGTGTGGGAGTGTAGGGTGGGGAAGGGGTGTAGGGTGGGGAAGGGATGTGGGGGTGGGGAAGGGGTGTGGGGGTGGGGAAGGGGTGTGGGGGTGGGGAAGGGGTGTGGGGGTGGGGAAGGGGTTTGGGGGTGGGGGTTTGAGTGGGTGTGGGTGTAAGTGGGTGTGGGTGGGTGTGGGAGT